CTTACATAATGAGGCTTTACCTCCCATTTATCTACCTTTTTTAAGGGTTGCAATATGAGCAAGTAGTGAAGAATTCACAACTCAGGGAAGTATCTCCACCTAGTAAGCTACTCAAAGACAAGATGAAAGGTGGCATGCTGCCATGTGTGGCACACCAATAAGCCCCACAAACTACACACAATGTTCACTGTTACTGATGTTGTTACAGGTAAGGTTGACGTTCCTAACAGAATCAACAGCTGTAAGAATTCAGATGGTTCTCTGTAATATCCAATGCTTGTTGATATCATATTCACCTTGTTTTGAGTAATTTTAAACTAGACTATTTTCTTGCTTCCATTATCACTTTGGAACCCAACAGGAATACAACAGAATTTCAAGACTGCAAGACACACATGCAGGAGTTTTGCAGTTAAGAGATGTCATAAAGTTCCCAGCAGCATCTTAAGTTGATACTATGTGAGGCCTTAGGGAAAAAAAAAACGTACTGGAAAAAATCTAATTACCCATAAGGAAGATTTTGATTCTACATGACATAAAGGAAAGCAGTCATTTTATGTAACCTCTTATTGGCCTTTTAAAAGGGGCCATGGTCTGTGGTGCCATGGTTATTGTGACTACTGGGTTTACACTGCAATCTAAATAAACTGGTTTTGGCAACACATCCAGAAGCTGAACTGTGATTTAGAAGTAATTTTAACAGGTTTGAAACTTTCATTATATGAACTACTTCCTTTGAAGGGGAACATCAATATTTCAGACACACAAAAATTCTTCATTTTTCCACTGAGTTAGGCCATTACTCAATCCAGCATTGTTAAGTAATTTTTCCCAAATATATTGTTGAGCATAACTCTGGGTTGCAGTAACTTTCACTCTTAAAGAATTCAGAACAAAATAAAGCCTACTAGACCATGTACTATTGTGATGAATATATATCAACTAGTTGAGAAAATTTCTTAGTAAATATTACTTATTCATTTAGCAATAAAAGGTGAATTTGAGCTCTTCATTCTGAAATAGATTTTTACACAGATTGAGTTTCCTAAACTTTATTAATACTTTATTGCTTACCTTTCCTAAAACTCTTAACTGGGTCTATTCAGAAATAGATTTTTACATAGAATGAGTTTCCTAAAGTTTTTAATACTTTACCACTTAGAACTCCTAAAATTCTTAACTAGGTCTATTGCAGAGTACAAAGGAATAAAATATATTTTCTTTGACATTTGAGCCTACGTATTTTGAATACTGCTGGGGATTTGGATGAGTGATTTAGATTAATGTTGACTGACAGATGTCAACTCAGTTTTATGAAAACTTTTGACAAGTCAACATTTGTTTTTTCTCTGTTTTGGAGAAAATGCAAACCTTTCTGAAATTAAGACTTGAGGCAACCAGGTTCACATTCCCCTGTTTCTTCAGTAAAACTTTCCAGGCCATTTCATTTTGGATAAGTTAGGATAGAACAGGAATTCAAATGGAAGTCCCTTATGAGTCATGTAAACATCCCAGTCACCATTCTGGAGTATGAGAACTCTCTCTTACACCAGTGTTACCCTTAATGTCTTTCCCAGATAATCTTTTTCTGGATATTTTTTAAAATAAAAATTAAAAACCTTGAAGGAAATCCCTAAGCTGGCTCCAGTGAAACAAGGATTTTACCCTACAGTAACAGCTGCTTTTCGTACAAGTAAAATATTCTTTGACTCTTTTGTGAGTTTACTCCAGAAGCTTTAAATAAAACAGTCTCTGTTCCACATTTTTGCTGTACACTTTTTCAGTTATTGCCTTCCCACTTCAGAATTATGTTATGTCTACTAATTTATGCAGATTTTGACATTGGACTCTTTACTCAAAAATTCTTACTCAAACAAACTCCCTACCAAAGGGAGAAATTTAAACTCCTGTACAAGTAAAAAATGTCAGACTGGGTCGTTAATAATGGATTTAGGGATTCTTTACAGTGAAAGACACTGTTAATTTATTCCCATTAGCATACACATGTTCAACTTACCATCTTCTACCCAGAATAAAAAACAACTTTTATCTAATAAAATGCTGTCGTGGTTTGGGCCTGGTTGGCAGCCAACCACAATGCAGCAGCTCTCTCTCCCATCCCCTCCGGCAATAAGAAGGGACAGAGAGCCAGGCTTGGGGTCCGAGATAGGACTGGGATGGGGAGAAAATTCCCCTTTATGATCACGAGCAAAAGGCAGACTCGTTAGGGGAAGAAAAAAAGAACATACATTTATTACAGACACTAACAACACGTAACAGAGTAGGACAGTGAGAAGCATTGCCACATCTTGAGAACACCTTCCCCCCACCCCTCCCTTCTTCCCGGGCTCAGCTCTGCTCCCGATATCTCTACCTCCTCCCCCAGTGGCGCAGGGGCAGGGAATGGGGGGTGCAGTCAGCGCTGCCACTTTCTTCATCTTCGGTGAGGGGAGTGTCTGGAACTTGTTCCTCCTGCTCCATCGTGGTCCCCCTCTCACAGGAGACAGTCCTCCACAAAATTTCTCTGACATGAGTTCCTCCCATGGGCCACAGCGTTCCCCACACTGCTCCGTCATGGGTCACTAACTTCCTCCGACTGGATTCTCTCCCACGGCTGCAGCCCTTCCCGAGCTGCTCCGGCGTGGGACTCCCCCGCATGCTGCAATCCTCCCAGCACTGAATTACAGCAGCGGGGCTACCTTTTCCCATGAGACCCCAACCTTCTTCGGGCACAGAACCTTGATCATCTGAGCAGGAGCCACAGGCCATAAATCAGTGTCTGCTCCACCGTAGATCTTCATGGGTGGCGGGGGGGGGTCGCCCTGCCATCTCACCACAGGATACAGGGGGGTCTCTGCTCCAGCACACCTCCCCCCTCCTTTCTTCCTCTGTTCCTCCACTGACCTTGGTGTTCACGCAGCTGCAGCAACTCCTCCTCACAAGTCCCCCTGCCCGTCACCACGTCCCTTCTTAAATACGTTATCGCAGAGGCGCAGCTGATTGGCTCAATTTTCCAAACAGAAGTGGAGCTGACTTGGAGCTGGGGAAGCTTCCAGAAGCTTCTCACAGGGGTACGCCCCAATAGACCCCTCCCCTGCCACCAAAAAACTCCACCACTCACTCAACCCAGGACAAATGCAAAAGATGACATAGTTGATTTTTTTTTTTTTTTTTTCATCAGGGACTGCATATCAGTGTATAACATTTCTCAAAATAAGCAAATCACTGTAGATTAAGTCCTACACAGCAACTCAACACAAGTGTGAAGTTTTGAGAGAAAATGACCTAAACCAGACAGAACAACAAAAGGTCTTGATGTAAGGTCAGGCAGAGCACCACTGGGCAGACAACATCACCCTGAAGGTAAAACCAAAGCAGTAGGAGAGACAAGGGAGCTAATATAATGGCAACACTATCTTTAGAGTCTGATAGGAAGTCTGCAAGTCTTTCCAGGGCTAGTCTGTGACAGTAAGTAGTTGATGTCCTCCATGTTCAGCAGAACCAGCTGCAAAGTAAGATCCTACAAGACTGGCATTAAGATGGTAGAGTCAGACTCTTGTTCTGCTCTTATAAACATACAAGTCACATGATGATTTTTTGTCAATCTGGAATCATGTACCAAATCTAGCTACAGTTTTATATATTTCAGATGAATGATTTAAAAAAGGTATTGTTTTACATGAGCTCTTTAGCCTATTCAGCTAGATATTTAAGTACATCTTCACAAAATCACTGTTTTTAATGATAGTAAAATGACCCGCAGAGCATATAGTCATCACACACCTTTTTATCTGTCAGTAAGTACAGTTTAGGATAAGCTTTTGATCCCTCTACTTCCACTGAAATCAATGAAAAGCCTTCATTCAGAGGCATAAGTATCTCCATATGGCATATATTATAACATAAAAAAACCCTATGCATGAGAGGAGGGGAAGATGGTGGAGTAATATTGTTCTTCTCAGGTGATATATGTATAACAGAGGATAAATGGGACAGTGAAAGAACTAACAGGCCATATTCACCCCTGCACAGTACAGCATTATGAACATGGCACAATGCTTTTAAGTACAGTGGGTAGGATTTCTGTTTTGCTGAGGAATCTTTACACAACTCCACACTGGGCTATTTATTCTCTTTCTGGGGAAAATGCTACTGGTACATGTCATAGTCAGCTCTATTTGTAACTCCTAGGAGAAAAAGCTTGTCATGAACACACTGAGCTCCAGTACAAAGGATCACACAAGCTGTTCTGATAGGAGCACACCTAACAACCTGCACATCTCTGAGTGCTCTCCCCTTTCCTGCTGCAGTCAGCATGTGACTTTGTCCCTAATTGGACAGGTGTTTTTTACAGACTTTTCTAAAATATTGGAATTTTTCCTAGGAGCAGAGGAAAACCTGCAGCTCAGATCTGTATGTCCCTGGCCCTTTGGAAAAATACAGATAAACAGGGGCCTGAGTTGCAAAATTTAGTTATTTTTAACTCTAATAACAGCTTCTGCCTCAGTCACTGCACAGAATAAAAATGTGTATTTGTTAGCACAGTGTTTGGTTACACAAAGTACTGCAATGCTAGTTACTAGGACAACAATATAGTTGTTTACACCGTGAAGACAATTTTCACAAGAAGAAAGGATAGTTATTTAACATTTTTGAAGTCTGCCTAAGAATCTGCAGGAAACAGAAGAAATGCAGGAAATAGTTTTTATTTATCTATGTTTCTCATATTTGTATTTGCAGTCCTATTATTCTACTCTCTCTGGTAGTAACCTTGCAAAATTTCATATGAACATAACACTTCATCTTAACAATGTGAAATATTGCACTCAGATAATTTCAAAGACAGGTTGCATTGTAGGGCTGCTCAGACATCAGTGTAAGAGTCTGTGTGACTGCAAGAAGCAGACTCAAGGACTATTTCAAATGTCCACAATTAATAATATACTGCAGTGCATAAACAGAGAGAGCCCTGTAAAAAAGAGGTGAAACCAGAAACTTACGTCATGACCAGAGTCTCATCTCCAGGTTCACTAAGTAATCCATCTACAAAGACTGAAGTGCTGGTAAAATTATGTGTACTCCAAGTCTGGCCTTCATCTATGCTGAACCTGTGAAAAAGCAGAAATGGTTTTCATTTACAACTATTGTTATACAAAACAGAATTCATTCATTCATTCAAAAAAAATCCCCTCATTACTAAAGCCCAGGATTTTCGATCACCAATATACAATATGCCTGGACAATATATCATATTAATATGATATTTTTCTCAGCAACGTATCCAGGGGCTTACATCTTTATTAGAACTTGTATAATAAATTCACCACAATAACAGAAATTCTTAGGCAGATAAAAACTGAGGTCTGTCAACAAACTATCTTCCTACCTTGTAGGTTCAAGATCAAGTTAATTTAAACTTCATTCTTTAGTAGTCTCTAAGTCAGAGACCTGCTAAACAGAGTTGAAAAATGAGAGGTAAAATGGCCCAGTTGCTACAATATGTGGGAGGTGAAGTAACTGCAAGCATCAAGATGATGGCCCTCCATGTCTGCTAATATCCACTTAAAATTTTGCAAAAGATGCTGATGAATCAGAAAAACATATTCCAAATACTTGGTGCACCCAAAATTTATGAATCAAAGTCTGTTTTCTTCTGTACATTTCCTTCAGGTCTTTTGGATAGTAGGTTAATGATGACTTTTGTTCTAGCTAACCAAGTACAGAGCCTAGTTCCTATTAGCACATATAGTATTGTGCAAAAATGAACCTATTTACAAGTGATAAAGATCTCTTATATTTTTCATGCCGAAGATGATAGTTTTGTATGCCATTACACAATGTTACCATATTTTGCTTCACTATCATGCAGTTTAAAACTTAGTATTCTATAAGAAAATGCTTTGCTGCAAACCTTTCCTGCTGAGAAGGCCATTTCCTACGTTATCACCATATGACAGGATCTATACATACTACAGTTAATTTGTGCATGAGTATCTCAGAACTGGGCTTCTTGCATACTGTGTTACACAGTACATAAGCACACATAAGTCCTTTCCCCACTGGCTCCCAAAGTCCACATTATATTTTTCTTGTCAGAGCAAATTAGGGCTATTCTCCAACATCTTCATTCACTGTGACCCTTGGAGGGGACAGAGATTTATTATATTATGAAGGAACTATCCTGACTAAATACCTAAACGACACATGCATCATAGGTTAAACATCATTGCCATATACTTCTGGTGCAAACCAGTAGCAGATAACAATCATGCTGAACATGGCTTGTACTGTAGAGTTCCAGCATAACCTTTTAAGCAAAAATAACTACACTGATGCAAGAAAATTTTATTATGATTAATGCATTATGCCATGGTACCTTCAGCACCATGAAGTAATCTTTAAGAAAACATCCACTTGCATTTTGTTGACTTAATGAATGTTAAATTAAGCTGACTCCACCTGCATTTCATACATGATCACAGTGAAATGCTCATCTTAAACTCTGAACATTGCCTCAGGTCTTGAATATACAATAGCTCTACTCAAATTGACTGTAGGATTACTTGAGTATTTTCAGAGGGATAGAGGTGTCTTTGATAGCCACAATAACTCCACCATGGTCCAGGTACAAGATGTGGTGCTCTTCTTCAAAGACCTACAGGTCAGACAAAAAAAAAAGGCCAGCTAAGCAAATGTACAAAACAGTAGAAATAAAATGTATGAGTGAACTGGGATTAAAAGACTTATATGTTTTATAATGTCCACACTTCAAATTGAAAAGGACATAAAAGTCAGTTTAACTCTTATATTTCTCCCAGCAATAAAAGAAAAGAAAGTCAAGCAGGTGAATCAGAAATCGTTCAGGTTCAAATCACAGTCAGATTAAACTGTCTAAAGTGATTTTAGCCCAATCTTATATTTCTCACAGTATGCATTCTGCATTCCTTCCTATTATATATCACCAAGTGACCTATCACCTTACTTTGGTATTTGCCATATTCTGTGTATCTTGCAGAATAAAATGCTTTGTAGTGTAATTCTAAGAAAAATAGGAAAAGTACTCCTGTCTGTGAGTTTCTCACATGCTCTCCAGATTCTATAGAACTTGAAATAATTGGTGCAAGCATGTTTTCTGCATTTCCAGTGCCGATGATTTATTTAAATTCAAATTGTATGTGATCTCACAGAGGCCGCTCTGAGTTCTGAACCAAAATACATGTAGTATTGATTTAATGGTGTAAAGGATTCAAAATTTCCTAAATTATTTTCATTCATTTTCTAGAGGTCAGAAGCCGTGCTGAAGTAAATGAACAGGTAGATATCTTCCCTTTTTTACACCTCAAATCTATTTTAAGACAGGGTTTACTCGTTATTAACATGTGAAAGTTCATTTAACATAAGATCAGGTGATAGAGTTAGAGTTACTACACACAATTAGCAGTTAATGGACAAACATGCAACCTCCTGAATGCTTTGACAAAGAAAAGGTGAAAAACAAAAAGGTAAGCTTTATTTTGCCTTGTGAATGAAAAAATACTGACAATACCAAATGCTTCTTTTTTGGGCAATACTAAATGCTACATTTAGAGGATTTATCAGCCAGACTGAACCAGAGTGGGAAAAAGTATCTTACAGCACATTCACAATTACTTCAAAAATAGTAAGCATGTAATTTGGGTTGAGAATTCAGTCTTCCTCTCATCTAGTAAGAGCATATTTCATGGGAATCCTAGAGCTTCAAGTGTCTGATCAGTTTTTCAATGTTGCCAATTTACAGGCGAAACCCTGATATGAAGCATTTTACAGTGCTATCTACTTGCTCCACACAGCTGCATATTTTAGAAGAGAATTCAGTAAAGGGCAGACATTAATTTTAGATGCACTTCAAAAGAACGAGATCAGCTGAAGTCAGATAAGCAAGCAGAGTTTTGATCCTCCTCTAAACTTTGAACTTCTCCTCAGATCAAAATGAAACAGTATGTGCTGGGGTACAAAGTCTCCAAAAGCTTCACCATCATACTGAAGATAAAGGAACCTGGTATCTGCATCACTTTATCCAAATTAGGTTTTCCTAGAAATGCACCATGGCACTTCCTCATGCACCATTTTAGTACCCCAGCTTTAGCACACTATAAAGCACTGCTGACACATTACAGGCTTATGAATGCCATCTTTGTATGATGCTCTTCTTGCACAGATTTCAAACATTTTATAACCAAATGTATGAAATTTCTTATGAAAGCAACTCTTCATCTTCAGTACATTGAAAAGAATTAATGATTTAATACTTATGGAGTGCAGCACAAAAGCAAATATTTATCTATACTTTCTGGAAACAAACCCAAGACAAACAGTTTGCAAACGATATAAGCAAAAATGGTCTCAGTGTCAGAGCTGAAGTTCAGACCTAGGAACATGAGATATGGGTGTTCACAGTCAGCCACAAATTCTGATATATGTCTCTCCACTAACTAAAGCCAGGTAATAAATTTATTATGATCCTTACTATTAGCCAGCCAATACAGAACTAGATTTTTATAACATATTCCTATTATTACAGAAGAAGTTTTCCCTTCTTCTGTAATTTTTTGAGCATGTTATGTGCTTTATAATCATAGTGTCAACTTCTTATCTCTCCCTCTCCTCCCTCTGCTCTAAAAGTTTTTTCCTGTATCTGTCCTAAGAACTTCAGCAGCTATTTCAGGCCAGAATATATGTTGGGAGCAATCAGGAGAGCTCCATGAAATCAGTGAAAACCCATTTAAATGATCCTAGAAAAATATACTCCACACAATTTTACTCTGAGATATAGAAGTTTTGAAAGCAACCAAAAATGCCCAAAGTCACTTGCTTCTCTCACCAAGTGACATCCATTTCTAAATTCAAATCTGGAAATAAAAGTTTTCCTACAGAGAATGAGCCAGTTGGACCTTCCCAGGGGTGAGAGGCTGTGATTGCAGCCTTTCCCGTTGTGCTTAAAGATGTTACCATCCATCTCTTAAAATGTCTGCAGAAAAACAAATATTCTTTCTTAAACAAAGGTTTTCCAAATTGCTTTGATACAAAAGGATTTGACATAGAGAAATAATATTTCAACAAAGGACTGGACTAAAGGTCCAGAGATCTAGATTCAGTTCCTAGATATACAACAGACTTTCTGTGTAACCTTATTAACTTAATTGAGCATTTTGTTGCTACACTAGCTACTTTGGTAGCAGATCAAATACAAAAGGGTTTTTGTTGCTAAATTTTTCCTCTTATTTAAGCCATTTCTTTTAAAAGCCAGACCTTTCTCTTACTCTGTTTGCCCTGTTTCAAGCACAGTGTTATAATAGATGCTGTTGAAATAACAATGGCAACCATAACTGTGAGCATATATCAGTTTAAAAAAAAAAAACAAAACAAAAACACACACACTCATATGTATATACAAGGTCATCCTTAGTATTTGACAGAGTATCCTAATATTTTAAAAATCAGGACTGAAGAAACAAGCCCCGCAGGGGAAAAAAGTGTTTAAAACATGTATGGTCTGAAATTGTGTTCAAAGGGAGTCCATTTCTCCCAGGATGCAAGATTTATTTATCTATCTGACTCAGTACCATGTTCATTAACAAATTATATGATATTGTTTTCCTGGTGTAATAGACAGAGAAATCTTTCAAATAGACATATTTATCCCACAAGTTCACCTTAGGCTACATCTTTGTGGTTCACTTAAGATGATCTAAGCCCACGTAGCTCCTGATAATGTCAAGGTGAGATAACCTTCTTCTACAGGCCAGACCAGGGCTGCTGCAAGGACATTTAAGCTGCTTGTCTATTGGCTCCTAAACTACTGTTATTTACAGTGCAATGTTGTACAATATACAATCACAAATTTCAGTTTGGTACACAGTGGGGTGATGGTTTCAAGAGATACCAACAAGCAGCTTGGGCATTGTGCAACAGAAAGGCAGAAGAACAACTGGAGCCAGGACAAATGGTATTGTAGCTACTTATAATCAAAATATTTGGTTTTACTTTTCCATTTATCACCAGTATTTATTTATTTTCACAAAACTCTTATTGGGGCATTTTTATTTCTACCTATAACCACTGGCTTTATATCCTACCATAGTAAGTCTTCCTGAACCCTTGTATGACCTTACTATATACAAGCTATGGAACTACGGGTTCCATCTCTCAAATAAAAAGCAGCAAAGGTATGAATTTGATTCCCTTCACACTTTACTTCTTATTTTTCACCCAAGAAAAAAAACAGAATTTCGCCAAATGATGACAATAAATTATTAGAGAGGCCTCTGTGAAGTATTAGACCAAACAGTACTCAGTGTAAATCCTGGAAGGCTGCTTTTGCATTTAAACACTTACTTATCATATACTACATTTCAAGAGGGAATTTGACATAACATTTTATCTTTTAAACCTCAAAGGACATTATCATGACAAAACTAATATATTTCTTTTAAAAAGTCCTCTGCGGAGTATTAATTGCTCCCTACAAATAGCAATATAAGAAACTGTCTGTATTTTCCTTTTGTAAACTCAAACTCCCTAAGCTCAGTAACACTGGTGAGAACATGTTCACACTTACCTGTTCTCAGAAAATAACACAACTTAATTTTATTTCAGCTGAACACTAGAACACTGTTTTAACTGAAATTAAATGTCTTTTTGACACAGTTTAGTCCTTTGAGGGTGTGTTTTTTTTTTTTTTTTTTTCCTGGATATACATTATAAGTAGATTCCAGATCATATTGTGTATTGGTGATATATACACACCGAAAGAAAAAATCCCTGTGATTAAACATTGGTGAGACAGAGCAATTTAGGAAAAAATACATAATAAAGGTGCAATGCTTAAATTGACACTAGACATTGGAAGCAAAAGATGTCCAAAATTCAAATGGCATTACACCTAGTACATGACTGTTCTGTTTTAATACTTCGGTGTTTGCAACCCCAGAATTGATTAAATCATATTAAAAGACATTCAAAGCTTTATTTTTTAAAAATATTGTTTTGTTTTCTCAGTTTCAATGAAGAAAAAAGTTTAAGATTAAATGCCAGTTTTCAGACTACAAAGTAGAAGAATTTCTGCCTTTTTATCTAAACCATGTCTTTTAGCTTGGAATATTTGTACTGCAAGATCTAGCCCAAGTCCCCTTCACCATTAGCATAGGAAGATTACTTAAATTACTCAAAACCTAAACAGATGCTATGGTTTTATGCAAGATACTTATAAGATCTTTAAAGAGATAAAACTATTAGGGTTTTAGCAGAACCTGGCAGCTCAACTAATTTCAGTCTTTCCAAATCACCTTCTTATTTTCTCCCACTTTCCAAGTGAAATGGGAATAACAATAGCCGTCTCACTCAAAAGAGTGGGCATATACAGATTAGTTAAGCATTATAAAATTCATCACATTTAGTACATTAAAATTATTCCCAGGTGCTTTTGATGATTTCTGTTTCCTACCTGACGCCATGTATTACCACAGTCAGATGTTATGTACATCTCTTCTTTATACTCGACCAGCTGGGACCCCAGGTTACCTGTCACAAAACAGGAGGAAATAAGGGTTGCATCCACATGAGCAAGAAAGTATTGGATCAAGTCCTGACACCAGAGTGAGAAGTTTCCAGGTCAGAGCAAGAACTAAACTCAGGTGATCAGCAGGTTTACATAATTTCTGGTAGCACCTCATAAATCCCTTTAAAAACATATATGTAAACTTTTAGCTTCCTCTACATTGCTAGCTATCCATAGGCAGGAGCAATAAGGCTTAATTCTAATCCTGAAATGCAGAGGTTAAACCAAATTTTAGTTTTGTTGTTGCATGCTGAAAAATTATTATAAAAGAACATGTATTTAAGATGTAAGTCTGCTATGCCTATAAACTCAGGCACCATACCTTATGCATCTTGAACTTGAATTTTTGAAATAAAAAGTGTTTTATCTGTAAGACTTTATGAAGTGGTGGCAAAATCTAGAATCTGGAGAAGTACAGAACACTGAAGAGGGGGCAGGGGGTTTCAAAAAGTGTGTAAATACAAAAGAATCACACATACAGAGTTCTCCATCTTCTAACACGTGGTATTTCAAATAGCAAACTATTAAACCACCAGGCAGTTTACAGTGCTCTAGGGGAGAAGCAATCACAGCACAATGTTCCTTCTAAATTATATTCTCCAGGGGATTTTGCCTTAAATATACGGTTTGCATGTTTTTACAGTAGAAATAAAAGTTATCAGATCCTCTTAAGCAGAAGAGACGAAGAAAGAAAACACTTGAGATTAGGATAGCAGTATGAAATTTCACTTGTGTGTTATATAAATAGCTGTTTTTAACCACCAAACCTGATCTGTTTATGCAGAGTGTGCTCACTAGTACTGAAAGGTTCCGGAGAGAAATGACAGCGCTCACTGCCCAAAATACACGCTCTATTTGGACCATCAAGATTGCACATGCTCCACTGTTTAATGGTATAACTCTACATTATTTAACCCTAAATACAGTCTAGACAGGATTAGGAAATTTATGTTGAGTCAGGGAATTCATAGGAGTCAGTTCATTTCTTTCAACTGCATTTAACATTTCAGAAGATGAAACCTCCATGACAGAAATGACAGAAAGCTACAACCATACCATCAGCATTAAGGACAAAGGATCATAGGCCTAACAAAAGTTTAAATTTTTGTTTAAGAACAGAAAACTTTTGGCTTTATTATGTACAGTGGTCCTTGGAAAATTGCATCTTTTGGTTTCAGTCATGTTGCATTCATTTAGGCAGATAGTCCAGTATAAGAAAAAAGAATCCAACAATTAAACATGATTAAGTTGTGAATATTTCCTAATGAGACAGTTCCAAAATGAAAATGTCACACTTTAATTCAGTTGTATTTTTCTTCCCAAATACAGATTTATTTAAAACTATTTGGTTCATGGCCAAAAAACTTCTTATCACTTTGAATCCTAAAAACCCATGTAAGCAAAGATCAGGAAATCTTTTCTTCCTTCATCTCACAGATCTCATCAGGAAGTAGGATCAGATCCTATGAGCTTTGTGTAGCAAAGATTACTCTGGTCACTTGAAGGAGGTATGAATGAGAGATGACTTTCTCAGGATTGAAGGATGGGAAGGGAAATTTGATTTGCTCTTTATAAAAAATATATTTCTTTTACAATTCTTTCTTTCTTCTGTATAGTTTTCACTGGTATATGTTTCAGGCGAATGGGTTTATTCTCGTGCTTCTGCAATTGCTCACAGAACTCTTTCTTTGGGATAGCTGAGGACAGAAGTACTTATTTGCTTGCTAGAATCTAAAGTATTGCTGTCAGTCTACACCCTTCTTTGCACAGATACTTTTAATGAATGCATTGTTAGGTTGTTCCTGGATAAATGCTGTTTATTTTACCTCTTTTCACCACTTACTGAAATCTACTTGCATGAGTAGGTCTTTGTTTTGAGAATTACCATGGATCTGCACTTTAAAAAGTGCAGTGGTAAATTGCCTTAGCTAATGGAGAATTAGTCTGAAAACTAAACAGCATCAACTTGTGCTTCATTAGAAAGCCTTTTATATCCAGCTGATATGGTAATAACTGAAAGACATTAGAAACAACTTTGTAATTGCAGCTCTGTAACAAGACAGGCATGACTTCTCCTAGTTTTGGTTTTACCTTTATTGCCTTTTCTTGGTAAACGAGCAAAAGGAGTTGGTCGTCTCAGTTATAAATACAGAGAAATGCCATTCTGTCAAAAAACAACTGATGACAAATTTGGCATAGATGCTGGTGTACTGCTGTGGGAAAAAAGACTTCACTGCTCTTTGACCTTTGAAAGTAGTCCATCCGCAGGCCAAGGGTGAAAACCCAGAATTGGTGCAAGCAGGAACTTCTGATTGCTGACATAATATTCTGTGCATTATTGAAGGCTGTATCTTCCACTACTTCCAGATTGTTTAGGAGATGCAATTATATTCCATAATTTTGCAAACTTTATAAAGTCAAGTCTTCAAGCACATAACAAAACCCATTCTGTAAGGGAGGATAAAACTTTTCAATTTAGTTGCAGTTTGCTATGTGGGTACTGCAGACAATGTCTTGCTGAAAAACAGCATCAGTGGATTCAGAAAGAAAAAGGAGGTGATGCAGCAAGCGGGAACTGATGGAGATAGGAAGGCTCCCGCAAAGTGCAGGGGGTTATTTGCAGTGGGAAGCAGCCACGCAGCCAAATCTCAGAGGTGACAGGCAGAAGGAAATTTCCATAGGAACACGTAGGGGTGTGTGATGAATTTGTTAAGCCAAGGATATCTTTGAAAGCTGTTAGCCTAAAAAAGTAGAACCGGAATAAAACTAAGTCCTTCAAAGAACCTATCAGACTCACCAGTTTTATTTGCAAATCTTTCTATTTAACATGTGTCACAGAAGAGTTATGAGTTTTCTCTATTTAAAGAGTTACATTGTTTTAACATTATTTTTTTATGTTGTAATAAAAAAAATAACTTAAAAGATTTGGGACATTCTGTTCTTTTTGAGATTTAAAATAAAGCACATAATTTTAAGCTCTATCTACCTCGCAGTGTGTCATGTTATTGTATTAAACCAGCTAACTAAACAAAGCACATGTAATAGCACCTTGTAAACCCCTTTACATCCAATTCACATCAACTGAAATGCAAAAAATCCTGATATTAGCAACATTATAAACAAACAACTTCAAAGTCACAGTATCGTTCAAACTAGAGCTGAGACAATCTGAAAGTTTCCATGCAGTATCTGAGGAGAATTATGTACCATATTTGTGTAAGTGTGGCAGTGGTCCACAACTGACATCACGATCCAGTGATACAGAAGGTAAGAAACAGCCAGATTATGCTCAGCACCAAGATTGGAAGCCAACACTTCCACTGTGTGAGTACCATTCCCACCATGTCCTGAAGTGTTTGGACTGTACGGAACACCCACAAACATCAGTGCACTGTTTCCCTAGTGAACCACACCAAAATCTCTGCTTCTTATTACAGCTGTAAATATCCACATTAACTCCTCAGGTCTAGCATTACAACATGGAAACTTTTCTATCATTTTAGCAGGTCTGTGTTAGATCTCAAAATCCATCTGTGGTAATAAGTAAAGATAATCTAATACACTGAAGGTAATTCAGGTTCATGCTGAAAAAGTTACTGCATCTGGAATGGGTAATCAACTGCAGGCTTATGCTGGTTTTGGCTGGGTAGAGTTAATTTTCTTCATAGCAGCTAGTATGGGGACATGTTTTGGATTTGTGCTGGGAACAGTGTTGATAATACAGGGATGTTTTAGTTATTGTGAGCAGAGCTTACACAGCATCAAGGCCTTTTCTGCTCCTTACATCACCCCACCATGAAGTAGGCTAGGGGTGCACAAGAAGCTGGGAGGGAACACAGCCGTGACAGTTGACCCCAACTGACCAAAGAGATATTCTGTATCATGTGACGTCATGCTCATCAATAAAACTAGGGAGGTGTCAATAATTAAATTGTTCTTATCTCAACCCACAAGTTTTCTCACTTTTACCCTCCCAATTCTCTTCCCTCCATCCCGCTGTGGGGGGAAAGTGAGCGAGCAGCTGTGTGGCACTTAGTTGCCTCCTGGGGTTAAACCATGACAAGGCTGTATTAGCCAGAGCTATAAATGATAGCATTTTAACATCACTTTTTGATCTAAATGGCTTGAAAATTACTCTGACACATGACGCAGAGTGTTTTGCCATCTAGTTTCAAGAAGTTTTGTTTGTAATACAGAAGCTTCTAAATTTTGTCTTATTTTATATTATTTTTATAGCTAAATGACAGGAACAGGAAAGAAGACCTTTCAATTACTGTTTGCTTCAACTTTGCTTTCTACATTTCTTATCCAATTTTAAATACACTGTTGTTAAAGGCATTGATAGAGGTTCATACTTTGTCCCTAATAAAGGGATGGCATTATTGCAAACACCACACATACAAGAAATAAGGGAACGCCAGAGACTATCTTGCAGCCGAGGCCAGTTGGCATGACCTGACCATGTTCACACCACATAGCCCTGGCTCTCCCCACATCATGCTGCCATGGGCAGCAGATGTATTTTTGTGAGATTCCCCCTGCCCCATCCAGTTCAAATTACCTGAAATAACATGGGGGATATGTTACAACCCACGAAAATGGTGTTTTCATGTGATGAAACTGTGGATGTGTGTGGCATGCCCCTGGTCTTGAGGGATGTGTCTGAGGGTAGAAGGCCAAGGTATGATAGTTTTGTTGAACTGAGTATGTTAGGAGAGGTACACCTTGGTGCTGTCTTGACCATAGCATTTATCAGAAACTCATGTCTCGTGTGCCTTCTCCCAAAACATGGCCTGGGGAACATATACACCTAAATTGTTCTCAAACACTTTCCCAAAGGCTTTCGTCACCAACAGATCCAGGGTACTGTGTTAGATGGACTCTTGGCCTGAGTCAGTGTGACTCTGCTGTTGTTATGTTCTGACACCTTGGTTCTTCAATTTAGGAAAAAAAAGGAAACATTTTGGCCTGCATTTTCAATTTTTTGATTCAGCACAGACATTTTTTATTTCTGTTACTTGCATTCTTATAAGTGTTTTCAAACTGTGTTTTGTGATACAGGAAATCCTCTTTTGTTTTTTTACTTGTCCTGAGTAAAGGGTAGTTTTAAAGTAGCTAGGTAAAATCACATGTTCCATCCCTGCAGGGGTAGCAGTCCCTAAAACTAGAATACAGGGGTATTAACTACTATTCAAGATAGTTCTCCAAGCTATTTGTAACTGCACATGCCAGTTTAGCAGTTTGTAGCACAGGGATGTGAAACAAAGCAATGTACGTTAGTGATGACTGGTGGCCAGCCAAGCTCTCTGGAAAGGTGGTATAGCTGTGAAAAACACATGCAGATCTCAAGAGAGTAATTAAAAGCTTGTCTTTGCTCAGGCATTTTGTCAGGTTCCTACTGGGTCACATAAATACGGAAAATTACTTTCCTTTACAATTTACTATTAATTTATATGTTTTAAATGGCACTTATGACTGCATTCACCAATATTTTTATACGCAATTTTAGACATGATTACTGTGAGAAGAAATAATCCCCATATGCAACACTTTGATAATCCTTCTAATATGAAAAATTTTTTCCAGCCACTTAAATTTAGCATACAGGCAGACACCTACTCTAAAATGAGATCTGCCTTGCCTAGATTACTGGCAATTAATACAGTTGCAACACCCTTTCAGTCAATGTACAATAAGCTAAAATTTAGTGGTTTGTTAACTTGTAGTCACAATGTAGAACAAACATACAACCAATTTATGTTTAAATGTCCCTGATAGACAGTTTTTGCCTGGCAAACTGAAGAAGTGTTCAGCTGAGAGCTGAGGGAGTGATTCGCACCATCAGAATGGGGAACATGTTGACATGAGAAAAATCCAAGGATCTTCACTACAAAATGCACTGGGAAATGCTCAATCATCTCCCTGTTTCCTCATCCTTTTTATAGTGACATTCTGGTATGCTACTTTTCTGAAAAATGACAGAAATTTATCACAGTGCATGTAGTGTATTTGGGCCTGATATGACAAAGAGTAAACTGAACTCTTCCAGCACTTCCTCAATTCCTGTGAATGTGCGGAATTTACTGCTTGCTTGATTTGCCATCTGGATTGGAAGCTAAGCAGACAATTACTATAAACTAGCACCTGAAAAATCTACACTGCTTTAAACATTTTTAATAGAAAAGTCCTTCACAAGTTTATAACAAAAATTTACACATCAATTGACACACATTTCATAGTCAATGCTGTGAGAAATAGAAGCTGTTGTCAAGATTAAAATGCACGAAAATCAAATGTAAATGCAAAATCCTATTACATTTCTTAAAGAGAGCAAAGCAGTCATTTAAAAGAACACTTTAAAATGAAGCTATAAAATGTAGTCTTCTGTTTGTAAAATTTATATATACACATAAGCTAAAAATATGCATTCCTCAGAACTATTTATGCAACTTTAATAGCATGGAATTTTTATTTATAAATATGAGTTTAAAAAGATGCAATTTTAACATCCTATTATTGTATTTTCCCCAAATGCTCTAAGCATTACCGCTGTTCGCTCTTTAAATATTTTTAAATTAAAACAATATTCAGTAGTCTCTCTGCTCTGATTTTCAAGCACAGTATCAGCCCTATACTTACATCACAGGTTAAGTTTTCCATTACCACAAGCAGCTGTATTGTATAAGCTTCCTATAAGGTAGCCAAACACCATGTAATAGGGATTTATTTTTTTTTTTGCTTGATAGCCACACTGCTCTTATTGAGAGGATAAATGTAATGGTTTTTATGGTTAGAAACTGTTTTCTAATTTCTAGTTCTTATCCATTTGTTTACATCACTTGTTTCTACCCCAAGGTTACACTTTCAGGAAAAAAAAAAGTCATATTCTTTATTGTCCCTTATTTTTCTCAGCTAATGAGGTTCCTCTTGTAAATATTCTCTATTTCCATCAACTGCCAAGAAGTCCTTCTTAGCACCTGCTCACTGGTCCTGAAAATTGATGATCAGAATTGTACAGATTCTTGTTAATAAGGTCACTGTATAGTATTTTGCCAGACTATTAATATTTCCCTCTCTCTGTTGGCAATTATTTACCTACTTCACCCTCAGAATACATTTCCTTTTTTCGCAGCACAAGGAACTGATGGTTCCTAGACACACTGTGATCAACTGACATTCACAGATCTTTATCATGCTTCAGTCATTTCCAGAAGATGTGCTCTCCCTAAATCTAACACTAAAATTCCAATAGTGTGTGATGTGGCCCAAATAATCTGTATTTCTGTATGTCTTAAGAACCTAGTACTTCTGTTGATTTGCATAGGATTATCAGTTTCAAGGATCAGGCTGGAAGAAATTCAAGCTCATTGTATGTAAAGTATTTCTGATAAGAAGTGTAAGTTTACAAGAATATCAGGTTTGCCAGATTAGACTGAACATGTGCACTGAATCCAGATGACCTGTGCATCCAAATAAATAAATGCAAGTCAAAATCAAAGTTAACTCAGGTTGTCTGTTAGCAAGGGGATGCAGTTGCCTTTTAAGATTTTTAAGACTCCAAAATAAGTCCCCTGGCTCTGTTTGCAACTATATGACCTTCTACCTGAGAAAGGATGTACTGCACCACTCTTGGGCTAATTTTTCCCACTTTCACACCATTCTTCCCAGCTTTTGAGCCAGCTGCTATGAGTGAGGGTGCCTCTCTCTCATTTCCATTACATTATAGGTTGCTCCACAACCAAGTCAAATTTAACATCAGTCCAGTTCTTAATGATATTTGGATGTCATCAATAAGTCTCCCTCATATTCATGTTGATAAAAGCTGTTGACAAGTTACCTACTGCTACGGTAACACAATGTCACAGTTATAAAATCTCACCTGATTCTAGGAAGGAATTAAGGACAAAATACTCTTCTCCAACCTGCCATCCCTGATAACATCTCAGGAAACAGTTCACTTAAACTCCTCAAAATCCAACCAAATGAAAACAGCCCAATATCTCAAAGGATATCAGTTCATCACATCAGAATATAATGCAAGGACAGATAAAAATGAAATTGAAGTAATGGAATAAATTAATTAAACCTCATTGCTTAATTTGGTACAAGAAGGCATCCAGGTATGATATAGTGAGGCTAAAATTAAGAACATGCACTAGAATAGGAGTACCTTTATATAAAAAGAAGATCCCTGAGATGGAAGTTGTTTTTTGGAATATTAGAATTCTTAAAATGTGAATTAAACACCTAACAGAAATGTATCTACAAGGGCACCGTATAAATTCTTAGTCTCATCCATGTTCATAAAAACTTAGCAGCATTTCATCGGGTAGGCCTGCACCCTGTAAAATACTTTAAACTCCAGTTACACTAGGGGAAAACTTGAAATCTTCAGTTACACTGAAGTAATGGCAGCTGTCAGTCTCTTTATTGATTAAAATTTAAATTTAATCTTTATTGATTAAAAAGTGATATACTTTTAGAAAAAGAGAAGCAGTACATGTGTGTATTTCACCTAAACATAATCCATAACATAAGAATAAAATAATTCAATTAAAAAACCTTTTTAGAACAGTTAAGATCTCAATAATTTTGAAACAAAGAAATGTAAAATTAAATGAAATGAATAAATGAATCACAAGGATACAAAGTAAGAGAGTTATGTGATTATTTTTCTTGATGAGTCGTCAACAGTGCAATGGAATTTCTTTTATTAAATGCCACTTCACAGTACCATGGCTCCATGTGTATGCTATAATGCAGAAGCCACAATCAACATTGAGACATCACAGAGACGGATTTGCCTCTCTCACTTCATGTCTCTTTAGGCAAAAAGGGAATTAATAAAAATTACAAGACAAATTATCTGTATCTAAGCATAATGAACAAAGGCTTGACCACTGTTTACATCAGTTTATTGGTTTCGCTGGGCTATTCATGATGCTGGAGGCTCTACATCCTACTTCTAGAGAAAAAGAATGCAGGACAAGTCCTTCAGCCACCGCCACTCCTCCACACTGCACTGGTGGGGAAGGAGTTACTACACAACAGAGAGAAGCATAATGTATCCTGTTATGTATGTGTCCTAAAAGACACAGGTCTGTGACTTCAATTTTTTATTAAACTGTTTGATTGAGAGATTCCATTAACGGTTATTCTGCAGGGAAAGCCTTATATTGGCTATGTTTCTAGCATGGCATTATTATAAACCAGAAGACTAGATCTACAAAGAACTGCTGCCGCACTTCAGGTCTCAAAAAATAATTGTACGTATTTACCTGCCCCCATTATGAGCCCTGGTGCAGTGTCCTTCGTATGGACTGTTCCTGACACATAGGGATTGTCCGCCCAGCGGAGATGCAGGTGAAGGTAGCAATCAGGCTTGTGTGGGAAGAAGACAACAGGTTTTTAAAAAAACACAACTGGTAACAGCTATGGTCCTACAATAATTAAAGCACAGTCAGAAAGCAGTTTCAGCAATACATGTCTTTGTAGAGAAAGAGAATGGCTGCTCCCCACAGAGTCAAAGTCCAGTCTGAAATATCCAGTTAATATTAGTTATCTAACTAACAAGAATCTCTGGTTATGTCTGTGTAGTCTGCCACTGTCTCAACAAAAAGATTTCCAAACTCAAAAAAGTCAATATGAAATTACTGTATAAAAACCCCTTCTGACAGAACAGTTGCTTAAAAATTATAATTAAGCAACAAGTATTGCATGTTTTTAGGTCCCAGGTAGCTGGTAAAATGATGGTTAAAAACAACTGTTTGTACTGAAATTTCTTTTTTATGAAAAAAGTGCTATGAAAAATAGCATAATGACTTTAGGACACATCTATCATCTCTCCTTGCCAAACAGCTCCCTGTTTCTTGCTCTTTGTGCAGCGTCACTCAAAGGTCACATTTGCTCACAGCAATCTGACCCGGAGCTTTACCAGGAGCGAGCTGCCAGCACCGCCTGGGAGCTGCCGCCACTGCGATCCCTCCACTCGACTCAGAAAGCTCAGGATCAGGCCCTGCAGGCTTGAACTATGTAGCACGGTCTTGAACTCTTCAAAAGGGAGCCAGGCCTCCACTTCTGCTATGTGGAGAGGGATCAAAGCTCTGGCAGTGGCAGGACTGAAAGCATTTATTTCACCCAGCAACATGGAGCTTGGAGTCCCAAGGAGCAGAGAGCCACTGAGAAAAATACAAGGTTTTCAGTACAGCCTCAAAAATAACAAAATATTATGGGTAGCTGGGACATCTAAACAAACTGAAATAACATCATCTTACAAAAAGAAAAGATTTTTTCATGCAGTTAACTGTGGTGTTTATTTCCAAGTAACTCTCAAGAGTTCCTTTTAACAGGGAAACAAGGGTTACCCCGGTTTAAGAAGAAACAAAGATACAGAAGATAGGAAGAGAAAAGGTATTGGTAAGCTCTGTTTGAGTGATGATGTGCCCCTTATATCCAGACACAAATGACTGTTGTCATGATTATTCTGAACTGGGTTGTGTGGTTGACACATAAGAAAAAATGTCCTCTTTGTGTCAAAGTGAACTAAAATACGAAATGCAGTGCAACAGAGTCCAGTCTACTCACTCTACGAGATGACTGGGCTAACAGCTTGTCAAACCACTGCTCATGCAATGCAAATAATTTGGCTGATAAATTCTGCACAAAGCTCTTGGGCTGTTGGAACTACTGCACATCCTACCATACAAATAATTCTTGTGCACTTTACAGAAAAGATAGCCTAAGAAGAGCCACTTACAGGTTTGCAGTTTGTTGGTTTGCCATTCATATCGATGTCTGGAGGGTTTAGAAAATCCCAGTCACGGCCTTTGTTGTAGGTTATCAGAGTTGTAACTTTCCCATCAATTTTCTGGTTGGCCAAAAAGACTCCTTTCACACCTCTGACCTGAAGCGTACAGGAGAGAGGGTTAATGACCAACACACATTTTTTTCGCCAAAGATTATCCCTGATTAGTTGCTCTTTTGTGGCTCAGAATTGTGTACCTCAGGTACTTTCTCCACTAGGAAAGTGAATTATACCTTAAAAAAAAAAAAAAAAAAGAAAAGAAAAAGGAAGGCAAAAGGATAAGAGGAAAGGGAGAAAGGGGGAAGGGGAGGACACTTACTAACTGATCTGTATTTTTAAATGTATTTAAAAAGGATATATGGTTCTCTCAGTGTCAGAAGGCCAATCCAATTACATGTAGTTTATACAGCAAAATACAAAAATGATGATACCATGGCCTTACTGTATACTACTGTCAAAATTACAGCTCTGCATTTTATTTAAATATGTACATCTCTAAAATGTTCTTCTGCAAATGATGTAAGCAACTTGTAACAGCAACCTGACTTATACACTGAAGTCATGTGACCCACATCATATAAATAGTACACAAATAGGTTACAGTAACAAAATACAATATAATATCCTTTAAAATAACACTGAATTAAGAAGCACAGTTGTCTCTTGTATGTAATAAATGCAGACAGATCATCCAGGGAAGAAACAGTGAGTGCTGAATCAACCTCTCAAGCACCTGAAATGCTTCCACACCCAGTCCACCTCCACACATTTAGTCTCCCTTCACCTGTTAAACCTCTGGGGAAAAAAAAACCAAACAAACAAACAAACAAAAAACAAAACAAAACAAAACAACAAAAAAACAAACAAACAAAAAAAAAAAAAAACAAACAAAAAAGGTTTACAGGCTCTCTCTTGCGGAAACTTAGCTATTTTATTTCAAAACAATCTGTATTAGAAAATTATTGCAACTCAGAGTGTCAAAGTTAATGGGGATAATTTTAGAAGCAACCTGACAGTAATCACATCTTAATATGTTTAGTTCTATCCCTAACATTTATGTATTAATATTCCACTCAATTGCATGAGATAAAATCTTGTATCAAATTTGAAGGTTTCCTTAATAGTGCTCTTGTTTCCCTTGTGATTATTTATGAGGCTCCTTGAATTTTTGAAAAATTCTTGATAATGTATATCAACTCATAAACCATTTCCAGTATAGTACAGCCCTCTAGTCTACTTTCTGGATTCAACTGTGATGCCGAGGCACCGAAATTCTTCTGTATTTTCTACTCCTTAAATCAGTTCCCTAATCTAAAATTAGGAGATTAGTATCTTTCTACCAAGAATTGAAAAGATTCATGTTAATAATAAGGTGTTACGGAAAAGAAGACATTTCAGTGTTGTGGAGTGTTCAGTTACTCCGATGAACAGTCCAATAGCTACCCAAGCCAGAGGAACACAATAAAATTCAAATGTATCTTTCCTTTGATTTTCTTTGGGCTTTTGGATTAGTTCTCAGAGCATCAATTTTCCAAAACAGTTCAGGGGTTAGTCGATCCCGAGTACTCTTAGAAAAGCACTTTGTACCTTATAAACCTATGTCCTAAACAGGCTTTCTGCTATGACTATATATTCTGTGACACATTAATTGATGCATTGTTACATTCAGGATTTTACAGCCAAACAATATTCTATACTAGTTGGTAGCAAGGAGCACAGTTCAGATGGCCCCACAGTGTTTATTTGCAGTAGTTACCAAAATATAAAAATATACTGCTATATAATAACATATTGTGATTAAAATTTAAATATATGCAATTTGTTGTTTGGAAAAAAAAGAATGAAGAAAGTGTGTGGCAATTTGTGTTGCTCTATGAGCATTCACAAGATCCAATCTAGAAATATTACGTTAGTATACCCATTTTGCAAATATGCCTAGGCCAAATTTGTGACTGGTTCACATTGGCAGCACTTGATAAAATTTTAGGTACATGTTCCTTTTTACAGTCACAAATTTCAAGGGTGTGTACCTTATAGACAGTCACTTAATACTTTACCTTTCTTTTTCTTTTCTTCTTTGAACAAGTATTTGGAAATTATTCCCCTTTCACACACACAACATGAAAGGAAATACGGTTCAAAGAAAGATAAAGTATATAAAAGAAAATTAATGCTCACAAGTAGAAAACTAAAAAAAAATTATAGCAGATGAACAAATAAAAGATGAACTGAAGTTAGCAGAAGATAATAAAGATGAACAGTGTAAATTTTAAGGAGAATTATGAACTGGTAGGAAGAGAAATTGTTCACCATTGAGGACTGTCTCTGTGTTGCACTGAAGATTCCTCTTCCCAAGATCGGATACTTGCATTAAAATGCCCAGAGTAAACCCAGAGTAGACCAAAAGAGTCCCATCTTCAAGGACTGCAATATGTGCTACATATCTAAGAAGGTAAAGTCTAGAAAATAATCGCTGGTAATGATAGACCTTTTTGTTGTACTACAACCATTGAGAAAGAAAAAGCTAAACAATGATGGAAGAGATAAGGGGGAAAAAACTACACCAAGAAGAGTCTAATTACAGCCATTTAACAGCTCTGTAATTGTATGACTTGTATCCAGAATTCCTATAAACCTTTTCCAAAGAAGTCTGCTGCACTTATAAAGATTATGGCTTTTTTAGACTGACACTGGACAGATTAGAGCATAACAGTGGCCAAATTGGGCCAGACCAAAGGTCCATTTGTTTAATATCCTGATAATGGCCAGTCCTACATACTACAAGAAAGAACAGAAACAGAGCAAGCATACACCTTATTACATTTAAATGTTGTCATCAACAGGAACAGAATTGATAACAGTTTGTTATCCACTACTATTCCAAAACACTATATTCTTCAGTCTTTTATCTCGGCAAAGACACTGATGTTAAAATCCAAGATAGATTTGTTTACAGGAGAGTTTATCTCATAGCAAATGCTACTGGCACAAGACATCTACTGAAAGCAAGTGGATTTGCTGTCCAATATCTAATTTTTTGGTTGTCAGAGCTGATACAACCTAGCACAAGGCTCATAGGATTACTATTCAAGACCCAACTGGCTAAAAGGTGTCCTGCTCTAAGTCAGGAAGTGTATCACTAAGTCACGTAAAAAGAAAAAGCTGTATGTAGGCAGCTGCCTAACTTCTTTCTTCAATATTAAATTTTGGTGCCAGCTTCACTTTTCAATATCTTAAAAAAACCCCAACCCTCAGCCAATTCTGGTTTTGCACATCCATGGAACCCCATATCAAGAATCTAGTTCTTAGAGCACACAGCACATTAACCGGGCAAGAAGGAAATATATAAGTAGTAAAAATAGGTACTAGTAAAGATAGTAGTAAAGATAACTGTGAAAAAATACTAATGTAAAATTAATTATACTCATAATCAAAATAAAAAAAATTATAACTCCACATAGACTAAACACATTGGAAGAGATAAAGACCTACCTCCAGAATATCTATCAGGACATTCTCTTCTGGCTGCTTTGTGCTCCGGACATTCTCCAGCAAGATAGAGTAGTAAACACCTTGAGGGTCAGACTGGTACAGATTGTATGTGTCTGTCTGGTACCATTCCTGAACAGCCACAAACACCTGGTTTTCATCTGTACTGATTATCTGTAAATCCTGTTAAAAAAAAAAAAAAACAAAAACAAACAAACAAACAAAAAACTAATTTTTCCATCACTTTGATTTTACAAACAATAAATTGGCCAGAAGAGTTTAATACTGGAGGCAGGGGAGGGAGAACAAATGCATCTGAGAGTTCAGTAACAGTAATCTCTCAACATAAAAGTGATCCAACATGCTTCATCCCACCGCTCCAAGGTGGTCGGTCACTGCCTTTTGGCTACAGGTTACCAGAATGCAAAACAGCATAGTGGTGACCAAAATAATGAATGTGCAAAAGCTGTGATCTGCTTTGACTCTTAGGGGAAATGACTTCTTGAATAAAAAAAAAAAAAAGAAAAGGGAAAACAAAGTAAATGACTCTCCAAAATCTGGATGAGAGTCAATGAAAGACTGATACAACATAAGCAAATCTAATCTAAGAAATACTCCTCGGGTACCTAGACAAGTAAGAAATACTTTTTCCTGTGTAAAGCATAACATAGCATAATGAGGATCAGATATGATTTACAGAAGTTACACACAGGAAGTAATACATATGCACAAATCTCATGTATGTTATAGTACATAATGTTAATTTATCTATGTATGTAGACAGATCCACTGAAATATTCAACAGTAATAACATGAGAATCAACATTCTGCATTCATTTCTCAAGAATTTCAGGCATGGATATTGCAACAGCTTGTTTTCAGTCTTCCCAGATTCTTCATTTGAAACTTCTCGGACAGAAAATACACAGCTGGGGGAAGTATTTAGCACTAATATTAGACAGAATAAATCAGGAAGTAGCAACACTGAACTAAGCTTAGCAAACAGAAAAAAAGTACATGAGTTTGCAAGAGGATATGGCAGCATAAAGGCAGATGTTGGGACTACATATGAAATGACATCTAGTCACGAAGACTGAAAGCTTGTAAACTCTTTATGACCTTGGTACTTAACTGGGATACTGTATCCAGTTCTGGTCACCTTATTACTGGAAAAATAACTAAGGAAATTGAGTGATTATTAAATAAAGCTACCAAAATATCAAGAGAATATGAATTTGTGGAAAATTGGCTTTAAAAATATATTAAAAAAAAAAAAAAACAAACCAACTTTATAGAACTCCAAGAGAGAAATAAAATGAATTTTGTAAGAATCCAATTAAGACAGAAGAAAATGTGAGTAACAGACCAACACTGCATACTTTGGCAAAGCATAGCAGTCATGTTTTAGGCAACATGCATGATGTGACTGAAGCACTTAGATTAAAAAAAAGACATGAATAGAAATAATACAATGGAAATATTTTTATTATGAAGAAAAGATGGTTATTAAATAACTAATCATTTAGTTAAAGTATTTTTACATATATGACGCATCTCAACACAAAAGTCCCTAAGTGAAGTTTCCTATCAATGACAGCTCAATGCTGTTTTCAAAGACTTTCATGTTGAACTATGCACTAAAGTAGATTTTTGTTTAGCAACCCATGAGTAATTCTCTTTTTCCTTGTACTCATAAATGACTCAGAAGCAAAGAGTCTGGCAGAAATGAGAGCAAAACACAACAACTGATCCCAACAGGTTCTTTAAAAAGCCTCATCTCTTGCCTTAAACCATGGCAATGTGAGGCTGGGTAGCCCACATTACACCACATCTAATACTGAATTCACCTCTTTTGCAGTGTGAGAAAAGCTCCCCTGATTACCCAATAAGTAAGGATAGAAGTGAATCAGAGGGTCAAAAAAGGAATAAACAGTTCTTTTTTCATATGAAAACCTCTAGAAAACCGTTACTCTCCTGTGATACCAGGAGCTTTCAGCAAAATTACCATCAACATTATTATAATCAAATATTTATACAGTGCCGTAAACAAATGCAAAACTCGAGTGAAAACACCCCAAGTGGTGGTGGGGTGGCAGTGGTTGCACGGGTGGGCTGTGGTGGCGGAGGTGAAAGGTGGCAGGATGGGCACAGTTGCGGTTCTCACATCTCAGGATGGGGTAGGAGCTGCTGGGCCAGCATAATCAACACACAAAGAGCCAAAACACGTGGTGCAGGAGGACAGGAAAATTAATTTGGGTCAGATTGGAGGGATGAGGTGAAAGAAAGAGGGATCAGACTGCAGAAGTTTGCTGCAGTAAATGAGAGTTTACGTTTCTCTTGGTAGTAACTGTTACCAGAAAGAGGTTTGTACACTCAAACTGCTGGATGCCAATTTTTTTCTGAGGCAAGAACTTAACAGATTCTGGTTTTAGCAAGTGAAATCGCCCTTCCAATGCTTGGACTTTTTTCCTTCCATTCAGAATATACACTTTCAGATTTCCAGTTCAGCCTTACTGCTATTTTCCTTTAACAGTGATTTCTTTTCCCTAGAGAAGCAAACCAGTTCTTCAGTTTTACTGCCTTGCATTAATCCTGCACAACACTTTTTGCCCAGTCATGATATAATTCTCTGGGAAAATTAATTGACAAAGTAAGGAAAACTGCAAATTTCATGCCCAATTCTTAATTTTATCTTTTAAAATCCTGGATGACACAGACTGCTGGAAATCTAGCTAAAACAAAGCTAAACTCTCATGTCACTCTTGTACTATTCTTATCCTGGAAAGGTGAATTTAAAAAGAGGAAGAAGAAATTGATTGACAAATACAGAGGCTGGGTCTTCAGTGTGCCAAGCCCAACCCTTCAGCTCAGCTACCCACTGCTCAACAGATGACAGCACATGAAGATGGGATGTCAGCAAATATTTCTAGACAGAACTTACTGCCAGTAACGAGGTAACTGGTAAGGACATCTGAGAAAGAAGAACTATCTTGATGGAGGGAATGCAAGTTTTTATTGCTTTGTCTAATTCATGGCCACAGATACTACCTTAGGCCGTAATCTCAGAAGATCCTATAAGGAAACAATTTATTCTTTGTCAATTTCATGCTTGGACTACTGCAATTGCCTTCTTGCTGGAACTCCTGCTTTCTCTCTCCACATTCTGCAGGCCACTCAAAGTCCTGTTGATCATCTAATTTTTCTATAATTATGCTATTGACACATGACTTATTCAAATTTGTTTATCAATATCTTCTTTACTAATACTAGAGATCATCAGGATTTGGAGAATTCCTTATTGTCACTACTCAGATTTTTATCTCCAGGCTGCCTTTTTGTATACATTCAGTATTTGAGCTCTTGTACTCTTCTTTCTTTTCCATGCTGAAATGACAGAGTCTGCACTTTCAGGTGTCCCAAGGCAGAATCTTTTCCCAGGTTTGCCATAGGAACCGTGTTGTTTCCTTTATGGCATGCCATTACTCCATGGACACCCTTTCTCTCATCTCTACTACTTTACTTTTGCTCTGTCCAGTCTGACATGTCTGCTCTGTTCCATGACTTGCTGATTCAAACATCCATGCTCTCACCATTCTCACTTCTCTCTCTCTTTTTTGTTTTTGCAAAGCTCACCAATGGCAATTTGTGTCGGAAATAGACTGTGATTCCCAAATACCAGTGTTTTCCATCTACTTTATCTCATCTGTTTAGGCTGTAAGCTTTTGTACAGTTCTGAGATGCTACTAGCTGTATTGTCCAAAACCCCTTGAGATTTATCTGTTCTGTTTGCTAAGGTACTTCTTTTGCACTATATTCTTCAAATTCCTTTATCACAATGTTTCCTTCATCCATCTCACTTTATTGCATAATAATATACCCCACTACATATACATGTCTGTAAGTTCATCACTAAAAATCTGTGGAAGTACTTATAGGTCCATGACAGGGGATCAACTCAGAGCCAGGGATAGGTCTGCCTATTCCTGCAACCAAGGAAGCCTGTGAAGTGCTCTAAAATCCACTATGCAATCAAGTCCATGGAGTCATTTCCCAATGGATGGATGAGAGTAGACAGAAAACAGCCTTCAAATAATGTAAACAGCCATCCCAAGGAAAACGGAATAAACTCTTCTAAGTCTACTTAAATACTGGGTTTAAATCGCAGCTAAGGAGATTCAGGTTAGACATCAGAATATCCTTCCATGGTAGAGCATGGTCATACACACTGAGGATAAAATGTTTAGAGAGGTAATCTTCATCATCAGGAATTGCTAGGATTAGATTAGTCAAATATATGTCAGGACTGGTCTAGGCAGATAACCATGCTTTGGAAAAGAACCTCTCAAGATCCTTTCCATGTCTATTTTCTATGATCCTGTGAAAACAGAGGAAAATAAAGCACATCTTATTGAGAATACTTTTAGAATTAGACATATTAGAAATTAGAAATATCATTAAAAAGACAAGATTTGGATTATTTTTTGTTGTTCTTGGGTTTTTTGTTTGTTTATGGGGTTTTGGCTGTTTTGTTGTTGTTTGTGTTTGTTTTGTTTTTTAATTCGAGAGCTATACCTTCTCAACTGTACTAAAGAAAGTAAACAATTTCCAGACAAATAAATATTTAAACTTGATCATGGAATTAGAATTAAGGGCAGCTCGTAATCTGTTGAATCAGAATTACCTTTGTACAAAAATGTTAAATTAATCCTGAAAGTGATCAAAGACTGAGTATTAAAAACTGTTATGATTAAACAAGGGATCCAGGGACAAGTTATACCATTCCTGCTCTCTCAAGGACTTGTAAGCTCTTATGTTTATACCACACAGCAGTAGCAATGAACATAATTGTACAAATAAACACAAAGAGAGCTTTAAGGTGATACTAGAAATAGTAAGACATGTATAGAAGACCAAACTGGCCCAAATGATGAGCACCACTTCAAAGAAACTTCATATCACATGGACAGACCTGATCTGTTAAGCCAAATAAATGAGTCTGAAGGTGTGCACGTGACATCAAAAGAACTGTGTATATTCAGCCATAACATGGAGAACAAGCACCCAAATCTCTTCCAGCGAGTACAGAGTAACTGTGAAATATTACTTCTTAAAAACATCCACACTGCTTGAGAATTATTTCTTTACTTTTAATACAGAGATAACAACATGATCAGTATAAGATT